ATTTCTTCTGTCATGACTTTTAAAGGATTTATAATTTAAAACTGGTATGTAAAACTAACCCAAATACCCAGTGTATTAAAACAAACAAACACACAAAACTTACTAATTCCTACCTTTTTGACCATCTGTAGCAGGCTCTTCCCTGACCACAGCAATTCAAGCCTGGTATTCTGTGTCCTCCAGATCTTTTCATTATCATACCTTCTCTGAAAGAGACATAAAATTAACCCATCGCCTTCAAATTTCCTGCTCCCACTTAGCTTGTATAGCCTCCCAACATGGGACTAAATAAACCATCTCATTCTCACATGACTTTCCTCCCTACTCTCTCCTGCTCGCTCTCAACTAGCTCAGTACCCTAATTGTTAGGCTGGGTACTCTAGAGATGAACCCTAAGATATACTGGTGAGATATAGCCCCTTCAGCATTCGGGGTGGTGTGATTCTGTTGTGCACTACACAGGACCTTAAGCATTCTGTCTCCTGGCTCTAAATGTTGAGTGTTCCCTCCTCAACATTGTGACACTGTGACAAACTAAAAAAAGACTCCATGCATTTCCACATGCCTGCACAGGGATGCTTTACCTGCTGTTGAGACCATGGTGCATCTCACACACAGATTCCAGGACATCCCTGTGTCTCTTCACACGCAGTTCTAGCAAACTAACAAACTAGTTGAGCTAATTGAGCCATGCCAAAGGAAGCAGAGCACAGCTACTAGTTTTGAAAACAATATCTTAATTCTGAAAAATGTGACAAGAAAAAGCAATAACAAAGGCTAAACTTAAAAAAAAAACTTTTTGAAACAACTATCAACAACGCTCTTAACTAGAGCTTGAAAGTTAAGCTCTTTATGTTTTCAAGCTCTAATATTGTGAAGGAAAATCATAAACTTCCATCTGGTTATACAACATATATTTTACATAGTATTATTTTAAAGTAATCATCAAAATGAGTATAAACATTTAACTTTATAAGGGATTATAAAAGGAGATCTTATATACTTGATTTTTAATGTATTCTCCTACACATCATACTTGCTATAGGTATTGGACACTTCCACTGTTGGGTTAGAAAGAATCTGTGCTGTGAGCACATGACAAAGACAGTGGAGCAGTTGCTACCATTGTTTATCACGGGAGATGCTCTGATTTGTATGCGTAATTCCATCAGTTGCTTTAACTCTACTGGGGAGAAGAGAAGCTAGCAGTAAAGCCAGGAGGACTCCATCACCATGGCATGCTGCTATATTAAGTGTTAATGCATATCAACTTTTCATACTTCTCTTTCAAGGTTTATTGCAACTTACATGCCCTTTGGTCCCAAATCATGGATGAAAGATAGCTGGCTTATATCAAGAAACTCTGTCTGAAAAGAGGCAAAAAAATCCATCTTTAGCAAGCAAAACAATTCAAATTTATGCATTAAAAAACATGTATTAGGTATAGCTGTGTGTAAATACTGTTTGGTGTGTTCCACAGACTACAGAGATCAATAATAATGGCATTGCCCTAAAAGAGTGCAGATTAGAAGTATATAAATAATGAAGACACACCCTACTAGATCTTCTAAATCTCAAAAGAGTGATGTGTGCCCTAAGATATAGAGATAAAATGCTCAAGAAGCTTGGAGAGAGAGAGAGTCTATTCCCAATATTCTTTCATGTTTGTTTTTGTTGCGCAGGGTGGATGTTGTGTGGCACAGTGTACACTCAAACAATAAAAGAATGTGAGAAGCGAGTGATACTGGTGCAGGACCTGGAAGATGGACTCGATTTGGGCACACGGAAATGGGAGATGAATGGGGGGCTAGAACAGAAGGTCCAAAAAGGTTATAGGATGTACAGTTGGGTTACAGTGAGTAAAATGAAGGAAAAAATGAAAAATTAAACAGGCTGAAAAGAGAGTGGGGAGGACTTTGAACATCAGGCATAACAAAAAGAATGATTTTTAATGAGTTGAAGAGGAAGAGAATTTTAGGCCCACCTTCACTGTATTGGAAGGTTAAAAACTGTAAATATTATAACAACAACTGTGGCTGTGCTTACTGAGTGCTATGTGTTGGTGTTATGCTAACCATTTTTCATGCATTATCTCAAATCCCTTTGAAGCAGGTGCTATATTTCCCATTGTACAGAAGAGGAAACTGAGGTTTAGAGTAGGCATAAGCAAATATTTTCCACAAAGAGCTAGACAGTAAATATTTTGGGTTTTGTGGGCATACATTTCATTTTGCAGTTACTCTGCTGTTGTAGCACGGAAATAGCCATAGACACATACATAAATGAATAACTGTGGTTGTGTTCCAATAAAACCTTATTTATGGATATAAAACACGAAGATAATCTAATTTTTATGTGTCACAAAATATTATTATTCATTTGATTTTTTCAACCACTTAAAAATATAAAAACTATTCTTAGTTCACAGAACATACAAAAACAGGCAAGGGGCAATGGGCAGGATTTGGTCCACGGGCCCTAGTTTGCAGGCCTCTGTTTTAGAGAAGTCAAGTAAGTTGTCCAAGATGACACAGTTAAGAAGGGATTACCTCAGTATGATTAACTCATCATGAAGTCAGACCAAAGTCAGCACCCTCAAAACTAAGCTGCAAAAGCCAAAAGTCATTCAACATTTATCTAACTCAAATTGCATTCCTTGTGTATTCTAGGTAGGTGAGAGCCAGATGTAAATGTGGAGGCATAGAGGGAAAAACAAATCAACATTATGTCATGGTTAGCATATGCAGATTTGCAGATTTTTTAAAAACGTGACCAAGAATAAGTTCAGTTCCTTAGACCATGTCCATAACAGCCTTGATAGACAACAGAGACTAAAAGGATACTCTCCCAGCATTAGGAAGCAGATGGGAGACCAAATATAGAAAACACTCCCCTCACAATGAAGTTCTGTGGGATGAACCACCCTAGATGCATGTGAAAGTAGTTACAGAGTTATAGAGCAGTGGAGGGCAACCACCTCCTAGCTGACATGACATCATCACAGAGGCAGGGGCATTTGATCTAGGTTTGTAAATGGGATTAACAAAACAAAAGTTTTCCATGACAGTTTTATATGTGATTGGACATATCTAACACTACTCTTGTAAAACTGTCTCTTATACACATCTAGATGTGTATAAGAGACAGCTACTACGGAGGCATAGCTAACTTCTGCAAAGTCCCAGAACAACCGAAGGGAAGAACAGGAAATGAAAACAAAAATCAAGGAAGCCACTAATCTAAATAAGAAAAAAATGTTCTTATTTACATAGCTGTTATCATCAAATAGCTGACAACAGAAATATTCTCTGAAATCATTCAGAAATCGTAACTTTTGGAGTATCATAACAAAACTGCTAAGTGTAAAGAGTCTCAGCTAAGTAGATAAGCACACATTAATAATGTAGAAAATTGAAAGTTACACATTAATATGAAATTTAATTTATCCTAATGGCTTAGTAAAGTTTGACTGGAGAGAGATTTTAAGAAGGAACCAGGCCTATTATATAGAAAAGAACGTATCTGGCAATAAAAGTTTTTCTAATAGAGTTATCAAATTGAAAGTAAGTGCGTCAGGGTCAACTGAGAGGCAAACCTAACTAATAAAAATTAAAATTTAACAAAGATGATGTTGTCTAAACTTCTTAGTACGTCTTCAGTGATAAGAATTTTGTTCTCCATTTGGGCAAGCGATTCTCAGGAATAAGAATTTAAAGATCAAGTTAGCCTAACAGGCTTATTCTATTGATCTTTTGAGTAATGTATAATCAATACCTTTTTGTCTTTGTTTTTTGGCAAAGGAATTTGTAAAATATGAATACAACTGAAATAATGTTGCAATGCAATAATGTTCTTGGCATTAGGTGGAAAGTGGTCTCAAGTAAAAAATTCCAACGTGATCTACCAATTGGATACTAAAAACGTTAGAGAAACAGAGAAGCAAAAATATTTCTATGTCAAGAGACAAACAACAAACCCGAGGGGTAACAAAAAATCCTGAAAATCACTTGGCAATCACGTACACACTGCCCCTTCCTTGTATTGTAAGAGAAGGGTGACTTTCAGAGGCTCCTTTTATTTCCCAGGTAGCAAAAACTCAAGTAAATGGCCAGGTGGGAAATTATCAGATACAAGGAAGGTAAGAGCATCGAGCTGGGCAATGTCCTTGTAGACTCAGGTACTCCAGGAAAGGCAGGGAACAAAGAGGACATCTAATCTATGAAGGAAACTGGGAGGCTGGACAAAGGCCTAAAGTCCTTCTAAATGCTAAGACTCAATCGTAAGAAAGAAAACATTTCCCTTAATTTGAAGAGGCAGCTGTTCAAATTAGTACAGCTTTTCCCTGTTGGAATGAAAACACTGCGTGCATGTTTATTCTTTACCTACTCTTCCCCTCAAGTTAAAGCTCATTCTACAAAACAAGGGAGAGATGAACACAGTATTACTGATCTGTGGCATGTTTTATCCAAGATTTGAAGCTAATCATCTTCTTGGGGATAAGGAATTTGAGTCACATGAGTTAAATGATTCACTTCAAGGTAGAGATATGATCCCATCAGTTTAGGGCCCTTCTCTTGGAAATTGTACAGTTTGTTCCATTTCTAGATTTCAATCTCACGTATGAAAAAGGTACATTTACTGCTCCTTATTCCTCTTATTTTAATTCCCTGGAAAATAAACATTTTCCAGTTACTAATTAAAATGCCTGGCTAGTGAGTTCTCTACCACAGCCAGCACTAATACAATTTCAGAATACAAAAGGAATTCCTGTTTGAGATTTTTTTATATGTTATTACACAACTCAGATATTGGTATTTTTTACATATTTATGCTTAGAGTAAAGGGGAAATACATTTGTCCTCATTTTACAAATGAGCAAAGAAAACTGAACAAATCACCCATAGTCTCTGAGGGGACTGTCTGATGATGACTACACTAAAACACTAGGATGCTCTGTTTTGCAGAAGCGTAAGAAGGAAAAAAAAGAATTAAAATCAGAGCAAGTCTTCATAATCATGGGAGAAAAGTCTGAGCACAAACCCAACCAATGACTATAAAGTGAGAGGAAAGAACTGTCCATGTCTAATTTCAGAGGCCATTTAAGAAAAATAAGGTCAGTGCTTAGAACCCTAAACCGAATTCCTTTGGCAAAAATCCTATTATACAAACACCTTTATAATAAATTTATCTCCACTTTTTTTTTTTTTTTTTAAGGCGGAGTCTTGCCCTGTAGCCCAGGCTGGAGTGCAGTGGCACAATCATGGCTCACTGCAACCTCTGCCTCCCAGGTTCAAGTGATTCTTCTGTCTCAGTCTCCCAAGTAGCTGGGATTACAGGCGCCCATCAACACGCCTGGCTAATTTTTGTATTTTTAGTAGAGACAAGGTTTCACCATGTTGTCCAGGCTGGTCTCGAACTCCTGACCTCAGGTGATCTACCTGCCTCAGCCTCCCAAAATGCTGGGATTGTAGGCATGAGCCACCATGCCCAGCCCTATCTCCACTTTTTAAAGTG